AGTCTTTTATTTTTTATGATAGATTAAAGCAAGGGTGTAACTAAGGCATCCCAAGTGGGGAGCCGCCCCTCCAAAAAAAGAAAATTTGATTTTTTTCTATTAGTTTTTTTATTTTTATTTATATAATTTTAGTCTATTTGCCCAAAACAAAATACCCACTTATAATGCATATTTTCTTTTTAAATTTGAGTATCAATGGTTGTATATGTTTATATTACATTAGCTAGACTTTCGAATTATTTTTGCTTTCTAAAGAATTAACAAAAAAAAAAAAAAAAAGAATTCGAGGGTGCTGCCCGAACCGCTGTAAATCCCCACCCCCCGATCAGCGTCCCTAGATGAAAGTAATACAAAATATATTAGATAAAACTTAAATTATGAATTATTCTCGATATTTTCTTTACGGGAAAATGGCAAATAGGGCCATGACAAGGGTCTTAAATGTTTATAGGCCCAGACAAAAATCAGTCTTGCAAATAAACCCTTTCTCATGTCTTTTGTCTAAAATAAGCTCCATAATATAATTTTCATTAATTCCATCAATTACACTCTAACTTCATAATATTTCACATTGACCCTGAAATTGAACAAATATATCACATTAACCCCATTTTCATAATTTTTTTTAAATATTTTTTTTTCAAAAAATAATTCTTTTTTCTTGAATTTTTTTTCCGGCCAAATCCCGGAGTTGACTTTTCTTTTCTTTTTTTTTAACTTTTTTTTTCTGATATTTTTTCCTGGCCAGTCAACCGCCGTTGACGAGTGGTCTCCGGCGTTGATTTTTTTTTAACTTTTGTTTTCTCTTTAAATTACTTTTTGGAAATACCAAAATAGTAATATTACTAATATTACTGTCCCAAACACTAATATTACTGTCCCAGACAGTAATATTATGAATATTACTTTCCCGAACAACAATATTACTAATATAATTACGGTCGGAGAGAGTAATATCACGGTCGAAGACAACAAAATTAATTAATACAATAGAAATACTATCTCAGACAGTCAAATTACCGTCTCCGACAATAATATTACTGTCGGAGACATAATATATCATGCCAAAACAATAATATTAATTAAAATAATAAAAAAAAAACAACAAAAAAGTCAACAGCGGTCTCCAGCGGTGGCAGTCAAATTTGGGGTCCAAATTAGTTAATTGGTGAAATTGAACTAAATTGTGGGGAAAATCATGAAATTGCAGTTGAATTAG